TTTTTTTGGTTTTACTTTGATTAATTTATTTTATTCTGCCGTCATTCCTGAAACATGCCTCCAACCCATAGTAGACCAACACTTTATTCTAAGAACTGTGTCTATTTAAAGTCATTTAAAACTAGATATCATATCTGGTCTTTTTTGTAGTAATAAATGCCTTACATAGTTGGCGCACTTGTAGGTGTCGTTGATTCTGTACCTAAGTCTTGTCTTCTTGTAGACATTGGTCTTTTTGTAATCCCCTATACACCAAGAACAACTGGGCTAAAAGTAAAATCAAACAAGTCTATTGTCTACAGCTTTTTAACTCGTTTCAAAACAACCAGTCAGTCCATTGTATCAACATTGCTGTTCTTTGTCCTCCCACCAAGCACGACAAAGCTTATTGTTTTGTGTGTCTGGGACAATCCCTAACCTTGGCGACAACTCGTTAATATAAAACCCTTTGCCCATCCCCCAATTTTTGCACTCACTCGATATATACTCTGGTCCAAAACAGAACCTTAATAAATACACAACATCAATCATCATCATCATCCTCACCAACCATGTCTCACTCCCCCCCCTCCCCAACCACACCCAGATCCACAGAAACACTCTTCTCCGCAGCCCGTCTCCTCTGGGGACCCGGACAAGAACAATACTACGGAACTCAAAAAAAAGAGCAAGTACGACGTATGAAGCCACCACAGCTAAGTATCGTCATCCCTTCCGGACGAACCTCCGTTCCCCCGCTCCTTAGTCCCGATGAGGAAATGTCCTGCTGCCATTTTTGTCTAGGGGCTGGGATTGATCATGATACAGGGAAGATGAAGGTGATGATAAGGAGAAGGAGGAGGAGATCTGATTTGGTGGTTTCGTGTTTCTTTTGTCTTGTTGTGATGGTTGTGATGGTGGTGGTGGCTCTTTCGTCGAGGGGATTTTGAGAGGGAATTATAGATGGGTAAGGTGGTAGGTAGGTAGGTAAGTAAGTAAGTAAGGGTAGTAGTACTACCCTTTGCTCATCTTACTATCTATATGAGCTATGGTCATTTCTGCCTGAAACAGTACCTTAGGGATCATCACTGCTAGGAACTTCAGGTCATGTCAAGATATAATAAAATTCGAGACCTTAGAACTGTCACGGGCAAAGTCTTTTATATTAATTAAATAAGCTTTTTTTTAACTACTACTATTAATTAATAAAAGGCGACGAGTCCGGCGCGAGGTGCTGTCAGATTTAAGCCAATATCCTGTCAAGGTCATGATTGTCTGTGTCTTCTTTTTCTGCCCGTCGAGAACCTCTGTCTTCCGGCTTCCCTATTTTAACCCGTCGGCGGTAGGTCTCATCGTACCACCATGGTACGTCGTGATAGCGTGACTATAGAGGTAATCGTTATATCCGACACCCATAGGAGTTGTCTAGTGTCCATATCGTCAAATCTAACAGGTGCGGTAGCAACACCGCCTAGGAACCTCGTGCATCTTCCATTGCCCACTGTCCACTGTCCACTGTCCACCTTTGAGTGACGGAAGGTTATGAGACGACGGGAATAGGGACCTCCAACCCCCCAGCATTCCATTCACCCGTTGCGGTGGCGACCACGGTCCCGTTGATTTCGTGGTGGATGGTGATCTTTGTCGCCTCTGGGTACTTGACGGTAAATTCGTACGAGACGAACTGATTGGTGGGCGAATAGTTGCAACCTCCGGTTTGTTCGTCGGCGATGACAGCCGTGACACACTAATATTTCTCAACGTCAACACGGGTTAATCCAAAGTGAGCAAATGATATATATATATATATATAACTCTCTGTTACGTGTAGATTTCCGGTGTTTTCGGTGGTGTTTTGTAATGTAAGGATTGAGGTTAGAAAAAAGAAATCAATCACTCACGTTGACGTTGAAACCGTTAATCCCCGGCACGTAATCGTCCTCGGCAATCAAGGAGAAGTCGTAGCGGCAGCCGAGAAGACCGCAGCCAGAGCTGTGAACCAGTAGGGAGATGGCACCGGGCTGTGTGCGTTCCGACACTTTGGATTCGGTTGGCATGGCCGTGGCCAAGTTGGCGAGGGTCGCCACGGCGGCCGAGGAAATACTTGCAAACTTCATGATGATGATTTGGGAATTTTTTCTCCGGGGCTACGCTACTTGGACGAGTGAGAGTGATTGGAAGATAAGACGACGAGCAAGAGAGAGAGAGAGAGAGAGAGGGCGATCGAAATCGCGGTTTTATAACCAAATCTTACAACAACGAGGCATCGATAAAGGAAAGACTTACATGGTTCTTGTAACCAGAACAGGTCGGCCAAGGAGTTGATGCTTACTATTGTAGGTACGGGTTTCAATGAAAAGGATAACTCTTGGAGTAAACCGGAGCTTGCGAGGGTATGTAACTGTTGAAAATCTCGGAGCAAACCCGAGCTTGCAAGGGTATACAAAAAAAAATCATTAACCCTGAGGTTTATCGGTGATAACTTGAAGTCCGCAGCTATATGGGGCCGGTGCATAATCGAATACGAGTACTCCTTAAGCCGTTTGTCAGCATGACATAGAGTTCCCGGCAGGAATAAAGTGGGGTTGATTACTGTAGCAGGAGATTGAGGAAGGCCACAATGGCTGTCTCGTAAGCGTTGTACAATGCTTACAACTGTTGTGAGATCCACAGCCGGTTTGAATTTCTAGCATTGGAAGTAGGTACCTCCTTTTCCATACAATTTACGGGAGGTACATAGCAATGTACACCAAGGGCCACCCCGACCCTGGCTGCGCGCCGGCCGCCACGGCTACAGAGTGACGTTCAATTGTAAGGTCTTTATGTGATATGTGAAGTCACTCTCTGGCCTAGGTGTTCAACCGGCGCGCAGCAAGGTCCGGGCAGTGTCGGGTTCCTTGGTGTGGCCTTCGGTCAAGGTGGTGTATGTTTGGATTGACTACAACCCACACCACACCACACATAATCAACCAACCAACCAACCAGGCAAGTGGCTTACCTAACCTTACACTCATATATAAAGCTAATTGCAAAGGATTTCATAGGCTAGCTATGTTAAAATGGATGGCGAAGGGCTGGCTGGGATCAAATACCTACCTACTTCCATCAGACCCTAAACTAAGAAGTGGCTACTTGAACAGATCAGCGCTTTAGCCGATGGTGCCCCAAGATATAATAAACGTGAGGAAGCGGGCCATGGCTTAGAGAATACGTACCTAAACTTGAGATACGCCAACTAACAAGGAGGAGACTGCACTGACGGGCATATACCTAGTGTACTAGTAGGTGGGCTTTGTGATCGGTACAAATTAGATAGTAGACTTAGCAACGATTAAATATCCCTCTTGTTGCGCCTTGACCATGATATTAAAGCGATATAGGTAGGTAGATATCTCACGAGTATCAAAGGAAACATGGTGATCTAGTTTAGCCGTGCTTGAGGCGGGCACTGCTCGATGTATTCTTCATCGTCCATCTGCCTCATTTGTTTTGTCAGACATACCCATGAAGCCGAGGGTAACTGAGCTAATCAAGGGGCTTCTTTTAGATTTCGTCGTGATTTTCCTTGGAATTCTCGTAGGTAGGTCGAACTCCTAGTAGACAAAAAAACAGGAAGGTACGATTGAGTCAAGACCAGGTGACAGTTTTAGCAGGCACCTTCCTGCCCAGTGAATGTATTTAATCTTGCGATGGTCACCTTGCTATATTCACTCCAAGTCTAGAATCTAGATTCACCTCCCATATCATACACCACCCATACTATTCATCTTGCATATCTACCATACACTTCTCATATCTTCCATACACTTCTCATATCAACCATACACTTGTCATATCACACACCACCCTTAGGTTACACATACATTGGCACATAAGGTACACAGGTAAGTATGTATATGGCATGCCGCTAGACTCTCAACATCACCACGCTCTACATCATCATTCCTCGGTATACTATACTTCGAGGGGTTCACCCAAGCTGCCATAAACTTGCCTGCGGACTCCCGGTATCTGTGAGTATAACTCGCAGATAAATAGTAAAGGTATTTCTACTACACCAGACCTACATAGGTACCTATGTAAGTAAAGTTGCACATTTGCACATACCGTGCACGTCATATCCTACTTCTACTAGGCACCTCTCACCTTCCAGAGTTTAAACTCATCCACCTATTACACAAAACACCATTAATTCCTGAGACTGCATGTTCTCCAAAATATTTCCATCCTCGGCCCAGCAAGGTACCCTCAGCTAATACCTAGACGTCTCTCAACTTGAAAGCATAGTACCGCACACATAACTTCTCATACCTCTACTACCTACACGGTCACCTTTCACATACTCAAGCTAGGCCAAATCATCTTCAACGACCATTGGTAACATACTATCATCGTATCTACGTGGGATATCTTACGACTTCAACCAAAGCAATGCCGAAAGTTAAGGTTAAAGTAAGAGACAATGTCGACGCGAAGCCAAGCCTAACAGACCTTGACGACGACAAGTTTGGGTGGAGAGCCTGCGAGCAGAAATATTCGAATCTACGACTTCATCTCAAAGAAAAGGCAGTAGAGACGGGTATCAAACACTGCAGGGACCTGGCTACAATCATTGAGAATGGCTTCGAATCCATGACAGGACACAGCAAGCTATTTACAGAAACTCTGTGGCCGTCGAAAAGCCGGGAAGAGTGGTTAAAGAAGAGTCGTAAGTTATCGATTACTAAGAAGAGGAACGGCTGTACAGGCTCATATTCGTGCTAACTTGTGGGAAAACCAGGACATCTTTGCAAGGAAAGTGAGGATTTCAAAATCC